GGCCAGCCCAGGTTGTCGGCAGGCGCACATAAATGCCTCGGTGGGCACCATGGCGCCCGCAGGCACCCTGTTGGGGACCACTGGTCTACAGCATGACAACTCCTGATGTGCTGATTAGCACAGTACTTGTTTTGTGCAGTGAAAGGACTAGTTACATAGCCTTTTTTGTCTATTCAGATTGAATAGCAGCACATAGATTAGAGAAGCAGGTGATATTAGAACATTGGCATACAACACCTGGAAGTGATTTCCTACTTACCTGAGCAATGGCTGCTTCATTATCTGCAAGCCCCAATAAAAAGATCCGCACTTTATCTATCTTCACTGGGACAGTTCTTCCCCTCCATTCCACCTCACTCATGGTGGCTGCCTGCTTTGCTCGAGTCTGGGTGATCAGTGACTGAAAAGTGCAAACAAAGGTGAGTGGCTCACAACTTAAATGGATGCAATTTTTGAATAGATGACTACCCTTATATTTACTTTAAAACTTGGAGGACATTTCATGGTTCCACTCCTTTCTAGGACTTGCTCCCTATAAAGTAATACAGCTTCTCTCTTTCAGTTGTACAATATATGTATATTTAATTTAAAAAGCAAAGCAGAAGAATGTATGTTCAATTGTGTTCCAAACCACGTGTTACAAATTTTGGAGCCTGTAGTAAATTACCTCTAATTTTTCAGCAAGAAGACCCTCTGTGCCACCAGATCTCAGTCTCATCTGCATTAGCTCACTGATAGCAGATTGGTCACCTGAGCAACAGAATTGACAGATTAGGTCTGAGACCACACTTGTTTCATTTGTCACTTCAGACAATTTTAATCTATGTCTCTAGAACACAGACTAGTGCTGAGGGGCGAGAAGGAAAAAGTATAGCTCTTGCCCCAAGTATGTATTTATCAGCACTGCATAAAACCACAGTGTTGCAAATTCTAATTTGTTAATCATGTACAGAACTTAAAGGCCTTGTCAGTCATATAGATACATCTGCAGGGTTTGCTTAGAGCATTACTAATGGACTCATTCTAATATATAAATAAGATAAACATTCCAAAACTCTTGCCTCAAAAGCAATCCTTAACCTGAAGCGTTTCCTTATTTTACTTACCAATATTATAGGCACAATAGCGAATGTTGGGTGAAATCTCTTCCACACGCTGATTATATAGCACAGCCTGCTCCTCTGTGAAAGCACTGGCCAGTTTTTCATATATGGTCCTGTAGCAGGAAAGTGAAAACTTACACTGTAGCACTGGCATTTACTAGACTACAGGCAGTCACCGGGTTACATAGATCCGACTTACATCGGATCCCTACTTACAAACGGGGTGAGGCAACCCCGCACTAGCTGCTTTTCCCCCTATCAGACCAGGGAGACACAAAGCTAGCGCCCCACCCAGCAGACCAGGGAGACGCGGAGTGGCTTTTCTCAGCAGACATCTCAGCTTGAGAATAAAGGACTGAGGGAAGTGACATGTGGGAGAATAAAACTGAGCTCTGGAGAAATGTTTGGCTAGAGTTTCCCCTACAATATGTACCAGTTCCGACTTACATACAAATTCAACTTAAGAACAAACCTACAGTCCCTATCTTGTACATAACCCGGGGACTGCCTGTACTAAGAGGTTGGTAAGAGAAAGGATGGCTGCTCAAGACTAAACCATTACTCTGTGAGAAGTCATTTCAACACCACAGCTCAGCTCTCTACCATTATGCTATTGGTTAGCATATAACTGATCAAAGATTTTTCAGAACTCTGGCAGAAGCTAAACAATCGCAGTTAACAAGCAGCTCACCTAGACTTATATCTAGTCTTGTATCAAATTGTATTAAGTGCAAGTTCACAATGATGGTAAGGAAGAAAACAAAACAAAACCAAAAAACTCACTTGCATTTGTTGAAAGCCTCCATAGCTGCTTTCCACTCCTGGTGTTCAAAATGCAGCATTCCTGTGAGGTAAGCCATATATGCCTGCAGACAGAGCAAGAGTGGACAAGTTAACTGTTATGAAAGCATAGTTCCATTCTGTGTGTTTAACACTGATACCACTATAGATAAAAATCTAGTCCAAGTAATAAATGTTAACTATGAAAAACAGTTTTAATTTTATGCATACACAGCACAAGTTATAATTAACTAGTTCATTTTTCCATTGATAGTTACAAATTCCTGATGTGAGAGGAAGACAAGCTAGTGGCTCTATCTTGCAGTCATTACCTACACGTTGGTAGAAGATTCTGTAGCCCAACAAAACAAAAGCTACAAAATGATTTTTTAATTAGAGCTCCCTTCATAGGGCACTAGTATCGGAAAGCAATGATTGTTTCTAATCTCCACTGGCCAGTAGGCAATCACTCTGGATATACAGAAAAACCTCAGAGTTATGAACACCTCAGGAATGGAGGTTGCTCATAACTGAAAACACATTCTGGTCGCAAACGTTTGGAAGAACTGAACATTGACTTAATGTAGCTTTGAAACTTTACTAAGCAGAAGAAAAATGCTGCTTTCTCTTTTTTAAATGGTTTAACACAGTACTGTACTTGTTTTTGGTCCCTGCTGCTGCCTGATGGCATACTCCCTGTTTCAAATAAGGTGTGTGGTTGACTGTTCAGTTCATAACTCTGAGGTTCAACCATAAATTGTAGGAAATTGAAAAAATTGGTAGAGCTTACATCTGGTGAGACATGTTGCTCAAAGCTATGAGTTTTCTGAATGCTGCACTCAGCAAAATGGCAGCACAGTTTTCTTTTCTGAAGTGAGTTAGGAGTGCTGTACCCTCATCCTCTCCCCACATTCCTGCCATTAAAAAAATCCTTTTGTTAAATCTTAAGCTAAACTCTGAGGCAAGGCCCATTGTGTTTATACAATATATGTGCAGTTGGACCCTAATTCTTATTGAGGCTTCAAGGCATTACTGTAAAGCTACTGCTAAAACACATCTGATAACTAATCAAACTATACAGTAGAGCTCAATCACCAGTAAACTAAAATCATCCTGGACAGTCTTAATCTGAAGTCAGAGCAGATAATTTCATGTCAGTTTACAGAGAAGGGTCTTTGTTCAACTAGAAACAAAAAGTTAGTTTATCCTTTTTGTTTCTGCTATAACACAAAACTGAATGTCAAGTAGTAACCTGAGCTTCTAGCTTAGTCTTGGCATCCACTCGATTGCTTTCACATAGGCGCTCCAGTTCCTCAGCATGTTTCACAGCTTTGCGCAAGCGAGAAAGTAAATGAAATCGCTTGCGGGGTTCTGTGTTGGCTTCCTGTTTAAGCTGCATGGCGTAGCTCCAGGCTCTCTCCGCGTCCATCAGTATCAACAGCAAGTACCTACAGGACACAGGAAGGCTATGAATAAAAGGAGTCAATTTTCCAATACTTTTTTGGGTTCCTTTCTATCACTCAGGCTTGTCTACACTGCAGGTATTTGTTGGCAGAAAGTATGTTAATGAAGTGCTCATTAGCATTTGTTGTGCTGTCATTTTCATATTCTCTGCCAATTGTTTCTGCACAAAAACAAGCAGTGAAGACGAGTCCTTTTATGCAAAATTCCCCTTTTGTGCAAGATCCCTTATGCCTCAAAGGAGGGTTTTTGGTGCAAAACGGACCCATCTACATTGCTTGTTTGCAAAAACCTCTTGCGCAAAAAGCATCTACAGAGAATATGCAAATGACAATGTGCGCTTCATTAGCATATTCTCTGCCACAAATACCTGCAGTGTAGACATAGCCTCAGTCAGAAAGTCTTATAAAATTATAGCTTTGGGCAACAGATTCCTCTATTTCTATAGGTAGTCATAAGCTAAGCAATACAATAGGGCCTTGTTGACTCTCTTATTTATTGTGTGGCTGCTTGTTACTGAGATGCAACCACTGAAAGATTTCTTCATGGACACTAAAGCTGTAGAAAACATTTGATATTAAGTCTCTGCTTTGTAGAATCACAAATTCCTGTGAAGGAAGACTAAAAGTAGCAATAGCCTCTTAGAGCTTTTCAAGGTACATAATTAAAAATAAAACCACCATTTTCAACAGTTAAGGAACCAGAGGAATTATAAAACATTGCCACAAACCAGGTGGAAAGAAATCCCATGAGCTAAAAAAATTCCCTATTTTCATCCCCCTCACAAACAGAAGAAAAATGAGAAAACACACAACTGTTTCTAGCAGCTGGGAAATGAGCCTAACGCTCTGGCTGCCTTCCAGTTCTACCAGAAAAATCATTCTAGTGAATTTTGAAAGCACATGTACAAATTGAAGGCAGATATTTTGGTCCAAAGATAATGGATATGTACCCAATCTCAATCCTGCTAGTAACAGCACTTTAGCTGTCTATATTCAGATGGTTATTCTAAAGAAGTGCTGACTAAATGGACTAAGCACATCCCCTAAAAATATTTGAACTGTACTGCTCAAGAAGCCAGCACTGACAACAGTAGCTAGTGCCAGGCAGTGAGGCAGGAACTCAGACTTTAAGGTCAGAAGGGACCATTATGATCATCTAGTATGACCCCTTGCACAATGCAGGCCACAGAATCTCACCCACCCACTCCTGGAATAATCCTCTCACCTATACCTCAGATACTGAAGTCCTCAAATGGTTTAGAGACCCCAAGATGGAGAGAATCCTCCAGCAAGTGATCTGTGCCCCATGCTACAGAGGAAGGCGAAAAACCTCCAGGGCCTCTCACCTCACAGTATCAGTGTGTTGCAGGCATCTCTACATATTCTAGTCTGAAACTTCGGTCAGACTATTAAGACTTCTGCTGAATTTTAGGTTTTGACAACACTCATCACTGTGGAGATAAAAACCCCTCCACCAAAGTGGTTTAGAGAAGTGCAGATCTGTGAACTAGGATAACATCCAAATTGTTTTCATTTGTGACCTATGTGAAGATAATTATCTCCAGAAGCAAGTTGCTAATACACAGCTAACCAACACCAGATTCTCCCCATGCTGAATACCTGTTGTCAGAGAGAATCTCTTCAGTTACTTTCTTCCCTGTGAACTTGTGTCGATTTCCCATCTTGAAGTTAAGAGTTTTTCGGAGTCGTCTTAGCCTGCGTGAGCAATAACCCCTGGAAATAATCAGAAAATAAAATCAGTTCTTCCAAGGAATATGACTTGGCTCTCATGTATCCCTCTTCCATTGTCAACCTTTACCGAATAATCAGAAAGCAATGCTGGACAAAATGTATGATTTAGAAACAGGCACTCCCAGAAACAATATAGAGCCAAGTTTAAGAAACATGACAGGAACATTAAACCTGATATGTGGCAGATGGTTAAAAGAGAAAACATAGCAATAAAGCAATATGGAAAATAGGCATGTTATGGTCATTGATTTCAACAAACTAAAATGATGCTCTCACTGTGTTCAAAATAATTTCTAATAAGTAACATATACACTCTCAAGTGGCTACTAATAATGTATGTGTGATCAATAACAAAAATGAGGGAACAAAAAGCAAGCAAATTAACTTCAGTATTCTAATCATTTGATTAGTCAAAAAGGATTAATTTGATTTACAGTAAGGCCCCTACCAATGGCTCTTATTTGGCAACCAGTTTTCAAAGTAATTACCTGCGGCAGCAAACTAGGTGATTTACAATGATCAAGATACGTATATTGACTATTACATATAAAATGCCTTGGTGTTATTTACTAACATACTAACCTGTATCTCTGGAAGTCTCCATGCCGTAAACCATGCTGCTGTTGGGATTCCTTAACAATCTGAAGGACTGGAAATCACATTAAGGAACATTTTTTACAGCATGCTGTTTGTTCTTGGTATGCCATTCTATCCTAAACTAATGGCGAGGACAGAACTGTACTGGATTTTTTCTTACACAAACATTGAAACAGATATTGGTCAAATGCACACAGAAGAGATTAGTGCAAACTTTCAATGAGAAATCCAAGAGCTGATGAGTCTGTAGAGATTCTCACTAAATATTTTATTATTTTTCAGAATACTGTAGATATAAATTATGGACAAGTCTACACTTAGGTCCGCTTGTATAGCGATACCAACAAAACCTTCTTAGCATTGATGCAATTATAGCCATGCGAAAGTATTTATTTCAGTATTCCAATACAGTGAGTGAAAGAAGCTATACCTGTGAAAACATTTATGCCAATACAACAATGTCTACGCTATAGTTTGGTTGGCATAGCTAGGTGGCCAACTCCCCCCTAACACACTCCTATAACTGACATATCTATGACAGCAAAACTTTAATTCTAGAATCATTGCTGAATTTTGTTTGATTTCTCTTGCAAAGGGTGCTAGAGGAGCTTTGCTGAATGTATTATAATTGCTATTCTTCTCTTATGTAGCACAGGCAAGCTTTACAACAAATTACTCCCTTAATAATACACTCCGCAAAGTGAGTCTTCCCAATTCTAAATATTTACCTTAAATTTTCTTAAAATCTATTTTAGATTGTTTAATTATACAATACATTATTGTCATAGTAGCTCTAACTTTTGTTGATTTGGGCATGTCTACCACCACTGATGTGACATTGGGTCTGCTACTTTATTTACAAATGCTAAATTATATCACTATTGCTAGAAGTTAAGTCTGACTTGCATCCTCATTTCAATTTGCACTCCTTCCTACTGCAAGATAAAACTCAGTTTTGCAACAGCTGTGCAGCTGAGTTATTTTCTCAAACTACTCACAAGAGAAACCCTACAGTTTTAAGTCAACATACTAATGGGTAAGTCAACTATAAAAAACTACCACACTGACCCTTTCACAGAAATTGGAAAGAATCCCAAGCTTCTAGTTAGGCTGTAGGTTGACACATCGCAATGTGTATGAGGCTTCATTTAGACAAAGCAATTTTATGTTTTATAGAGGAGTGTGAGCATCTTGTACTCTCTACAGTAGGACAAAAAACACAAATGTGAATAAAATTGACTTTATGTGGGTTACTATGTATTTGAAAACCCATTAAAGTGCTATGTTGTTTACAAATTCAAAGAGGCAGAAAAGATTATTTTTAAGAAATTGGATTTTTTTAAATTTAAAATTGTTTATTTTTTTAATCAATAAATACTAATTTTCTCATTTAAAAGTAAGTTACATCTCATCACAAACATGCTACACAAAGTCTCAAAAATGAAGTAAGCACTCTAGACTGTACAGCCTAACTATTAGCACTTACTTCTTGAAAGTTTTGGGCTTTCAATTTCTGTTTTTAAGCAGACTGAAGACACATGTGCAATAAGATAAGATGTATAGGATTGGTTTTGTTCTGTTTACACGTGGTGGTGGGCTTTGGCCAAGCATGGCAAAATATTATCTTAGAGACAGAGAAAATATATAGGAAAGGATGGAGACCGCATAAAAAGGAACAGTGGCACGGACTGGAAAGAAAAGGGGGAAAACATTTAGCACACACAGAGTTTCCTATATTCCCCCACTCTTTTGTCACAGAAAAACTGTCATAGCTTCAGGGCATAAGAGACAGACTACTGGGGAATACTTTGAATAAATTCTTTCCCTGGGTGAAAAAGGAAAATGTGTCAAGTGTAAGCAGTACAAGATGATTTGCAGGGCCTAGTTCCAAGAATAAAACATCGTAAGAAAAACTACTCATTAGGAGAAAATGATGTAGGTATGGCTGAGTGCATAAACTGGTTAGTAACAACTAATTCACTTTGCAATGCAGCATTCTTCAACTCTCTCTATGCCTCTTAGTATAAGTGTGATTTGACAAGTACATTTCCAAGCCTTTTGCGGTGCTGAATGTTCCTAAAAAAAGTTTTAGCTAATCTTTATGGCTTGTTTAACTAGGTTTAGAATCTATCACTCAAGTATACAATACATAAAGCCACAGTAAGAAACGTAAAGTCAGTTGCCAATGAGTGTCATTTTCTTATTTTATATACATAATTCATGCCCCTTATTTTGGCACATCATTGTCACAGACCATAATGGTGATGCTATAAATCTATTCCCTAATTTATTTCAGCATAACTCAGCTTTTCCAAGCAAATTCCAGTCTATGTTTGTTTTTTCAAAAATCAGAAGTGCCAGTGAATTCAATGGGGCTTACTTCAAAATTAAGAGTCTGATGCTCTACGGACTGAGCTAGCCAGGTGCACTATATGCAGTCTTGGATTTTTTGATAATTTAAATTAATGATTTTTTTCTGGTGATTTAAATCAATTCATCTGGGCAGAATACTTTTCCCTGAGAACAGTATGATATTGATGTATAATTTTATTTAAAACTGTGATTCTAATTGTAACTCCATTACAGTTGATTACCAATGATTACAACTGCCCTAGAAGACTTTCAGCTCAATAGCATGCAACTTCCATAAAGACTACACAAAACATATTTATCACACCAGGATGACACAAACTGTTATTGCTTCTGTGGCTGTAACAACAAGTTCTCTTGGAGAAACCAAAATTTAGTATTGAGCAAAATGAACATGCCACATGACTGTATTCCAATCAAATAAAATTTGGACTGAAATTCTCCATTAACGAGGATTAGTGATATTTGTCACAGCGTCTGCAAGAGGCGGCTAAGGGCGTCAAAGTAGGGATGCTAAAATGTGTTTTCTTTGGTAAATGTGTAACCACTGAAATTTTCATCCATTACATGTTTACATGTGGGGAGAGGGAGGCGGCTCTGTGGGAGCCAGTATGCCCACACCCTGTGATGGGTGGGACAAGCAGCTTCCTAGGAGCCAGTCCTCACCAGGAACCTGCTTAAAAGCCAGCGGGGGCCTGCCTCTGCCCCCCCCCTCCGTCCCCCACTGCTTCCTCACAGCACGCAGGGAAGGGGGAGGACTCATGTTACCACGAAGGTTAAACATTTACATGTTTACACTATCACATCCCTACATCGACATTTACATCAAATTTTCTTGTGCCAAATTTACATTGTTAAAACACGTCAGCACTACCTATCAGTGTCTGACACCTACAACTGGCTAGCCATGTACTAAACCACAACAAATCTCACACTACTCCTTACATTATCTCACAAATAATTCTATTCTGGATGACAGAATATAAACTGAATGAGAGCTCAGCAATGGCCAGGATCAGGGCCCGTTAAAACAGAAATGAGAACCTTAGAGTACCAACAAGTGCCAATGAAGCAGTACAGAAGTGACCTCAAGCGTGAGGTCTAATAAAATAAATAAATTAATTAATGGAGATTGCCTATCTCCTAGAACTGGAAGGGACCTTGGGAGGTCATCGAGTCCAGTCCCCTGCCTTCACAGCAGGACCAAGTACCATGCCTGACTAGGTATTCTGACTAATATTCTAACTAGGATCCGATTTGTCTTTGGGTGGCGAGCAGCTTCAGGCTTGGATTCCACGCGTGTCAAGTTACATTCTTCTATTACTCTGCAAACTTAAAAAACTGCTTCCCTCCACACGCGTCAAATCCAGCCTCCGCTTTGCTCCCCCACTGAAGGTAACGTCAGTGGCCGCACAGAAAACCGCCCCTTACCGCACCCAGTGCGGGGCGAGAGCGAGCGGGAGCAAAGCTGCGTGCAGCCCCTTTCCGCCGCATGTCTGCCAAAGCCCCGCGCCTTTGCTTCTCCCCGCCCCGAGGACCGCAGGGCCCGCGGCGGAGGGGCGCGCCGAGCCCAGCAAGGAGCTCCGCGTGGGGGCCTCCCCGCGGCCTGACTGACACGTCCTCACTCGCGGCCGGCCCGCAGGATACTCTCCAGGCCCAGGCTGTCCCCGAGGCCCCCCGCCTTCCCCCCCGCC